GGCCAAGGTGGGAGGATCACTTGAGCCCAGGAGTTCAAGACCAGTCTAAGCAACATAGCAAGAGCTCATCTCTACACAAAAAAGTAGAAAAAATTACCAGACGTGGTGGCACACGCCTGTAGCCTTGCTACTCAGGAGGCTGGGGTGGGAGGACCGGTTAAGCCGGGGAGGTTGAGGATGCAATGAGTCCTGATCGCACCACTGCAATCCAGCCTAGGCAACTGAGGGAGACCTTGTTTCAATCAATCAATCATAAGAAGGCACAAATCCACAAGGGGTCTTCCACTCTGCAAGCCTGTGTTTAAGCACGTCCTTATCTATGCCATCACATTTGCCACATACATACATAGGCTCCTTCCCCAGCTCCACACCTCAGTCGCCACAGGTTGTTTTTTAACTCCCTGGGTTCCACAAACACGTGGTGAGTTTGACATAGAGCCATGACACATCTTCCCAACCAAACATAACAATTTGTGAACTGATTAATCCATTGGTCCCTATGTCATTGAAAAAGGCTTTTTCCCGGAGTTTTCAAGAAGGCCACCAGTTCAGTGATATTCTCCCTCTCTCATTTCATTTCAGGATCCCTCTGTTATAGTAAAGATGGGGGTGGTCTCTCCTGGGAATAAAGCAGGTTGGGAGGCAGGCTACATAAAATGCTGAGAAGTATTTCTAAGCATCATCATCATCATCATTTACAAGGCCTTCATACATGCCAAAGTTGTTCTACAACACATTAGGGCACAGTTCTTGGTTCAAGCAGTGAATACATTATTGGCAAAATGTGTATGACTTTTACCTCTACATAAAGTCAATGAGGTAGGTAGGAAAAGCCCTACCCCTATTATAGGAAGAAAACTGAGGCTCAGTGAAGCACAGGGACTTCCCCAAAACTTGTGCTTGTCAGAAAAAGCTAGAGCTGGGTCTTCTGGCCCTTTCCCTCAATGAAAGCACAGCTTCGAATTCTTCCTCTGCCACTGACATGAGATTTGACCCCAATCTAGCATCGCAAGTCCGTAGTGAATTTTTCATCTGAAACATATGCCAACTGGGCCCAACTACCAACTGGGCTCTAGAGACGGCCCAGAAAATCGGGATGAACGGGTGCAGTGGGAGACCTCGACCTCAGAGAGCCTGCCCAAAAGGGGTGGGACCGCAGCGGACTTTCTGGCCTAGGATAGGGCCCGCCGCGCCACCCCCTCCCGCTCAGATCCCAGGAGCCTCCGTAGGACTTCGGCGCTGGACTGGGCACTCCAAGTCAAGGGCTCCAGCCCGCATTAGCCCAGCGCCACCCACTTCCTCGTCTGCATTTTCTGCCCACACATACGCCAACGGTTGGATGCGCCCGCCGGGCCAGTGTGCCCCTGAGTTTGTGATCCCCAAAAGCAAAACACAGAACTCCGCAACGATTTCCACGCACCGCCGCCAGCTTCCGGACTCCAGCACCAGCAACACTGGCCTGCGAGTTCCTTTTGCGCCTGCGCCTGCGCGTGGCGCTTGCGCAGTGGGCGAGGAGGGCGAGGCCACAGTGGGCGCAGAAGTGGGTGGGACGAGTACGCCTTGGCAAATGCTGACATGAAACCCTGCGGGCAGGGAGACCACTCTAAACCACAGATTCAGGAAGAGGACGCTGCAGGGCACCGCCCTTCACTCAGGACAGCTGCCAACGCTTCGGGTCTGCGGATCCTGTCGGTGGGGACGAACCGATTCCTGGCGCCTCTAAGGGCTGATTCACGGTGCGGGGCGGGGCGGGGCGGGGCCGAGAAGTGTGGCTATATTAGCCCGAGGCGTGGCCCATCTGTGACGTCATGAAGTTGCGTAATAGAATGCCTCTGTGGACCTCATTCAAGCTTTATGCTGCAGCCCGAGGCCTCTGTGACGTCACAGTGTCTGCAGGAGGAGACCATGACGTCACAGAGGCTTAGCGCTCTGAGAGGTGGGACGGGACTCTTTTGAGCCAGCTGTGGGGACACCAAGATTCTAGGGGATTTAGGACATCAGGTCCTCAGGTTCTTGGAGCTGAGGTGACGTCAAGGAGCCCCAGAGCATCCCATTGCTTCCCTCCCCACAATGTGAGCAGTGAGTTCCGCGGCAAGGAAGTACGTGGGAAAACGTTTTTTAGTGGGTCCCTAACCCCTAACTACATTCTGGAAAGAGAAAGTAGAACCTGAAACACTATCTCCTAGGAAGAAGCTCCTGCAAGCTTTTCTTTTCCCAGGACGCACCTAATATCTTCCCAGAGACAGCATCTGGCAGTTCCGGGCTGTGCCCAGGATCTCTGCATCTGGCAGTTCCGGGCTGTGCCCAGGATCTCTGGCACCTTCCGCCCTCCCTGCCCAAGAGGCTGTCTTAGGCCAGATAGCTTCCCCATCCGTACACAAAAACTACAGGCCTGGCAGCTTTGATAAGGGCCCCAGCTGAACTCCACCTGGCCAGCACCATCGGCCTCTTTTTCTCCTGAAAAACAGCCCCAGCAACGCTGAGCGCCAGAGACAGTCACTGGGACCAACGAATCTTATTGTGATGGGGGTCCAGAGACGAGACGAGAGCTGGGACTTTTTAGAGATGTACTGGGGGAAAATTTGGGGCAGGCAAGAAAACTCACCCAGCATTTTTGACCCTCTCAATTGCATTTTTTGTGCAAGCCACACTGAATATGAGCAGGAAACTGGGGCACTAGTTTCCAACCACATCAATCAACCACATCACTTGGGAATTGTAGCCTGGATGGGGTCAGATGGCCCACAGGCCCAGCTGGTCTTTCCACGTGTAGTTGCTGTTTCTACACAGTCTCTGAATCACTAGAGCAAGCTGCAGTGAGACGTGATATCTGAGCCCACCAGGATAACAGCAAACATCAGTAGAGCAAATAGAGGCATTCTGAGAGGGCCAGGGACTTGCTGCGCATCACCCTGTCCCACCCTCCATTTCCCACCTCCAATTTAAAATTCTGCACTGGAAATCTGTTATTTTGGGGATGCACACTTGATACTGACATTCAGTTGCAGGACTTGTACTGGGAGGGGTTTCACAGTGCTGGAGGTGGGATGACCCAGAAAGGATTAACATGGCTGGCAAACCTCCCCATTTCACCGTATTTATAACGTCCTGAGGCCCCGGAAACTGCAGAGGCTTAGTGTTCAGGGAGGTGGAATAATGTGTTCTGGGAGGTGGAGGGATGTCAGGGGCTAGGGAAGAGCAGCCATAGATAACCCCAAGGATAGCATCCCAGAAAGAGCCAAGGGACTAGGAAGGACGCCGTGTGTGTGTGTGTGTGTGTGTGTGTGTGTGTGTGTGTGCGCGCACCCATACACTCTGGTTGTTTTGGAGCAACCACGGCCCACAGCCTCGTGGGGCTTCATAGAGGAACCAACGAGGCTTCTGCAGTTGGCCCTAGTACAAGCTATGGTCAGACACGAACCACACCACAACCTGCGTGCGCCTCTTGGGCCCAGACCGTCTACCTACCACCCCAAACCTACTGGCTAACCTCACTTCCACGCACTCAGAGGCCCCAGTTCTCAGGAATGGGGGCATAATTCTGGGCCGCGCACGACCTTGTGAACTGCACGGAAGAAGGACTGGGATAGTGCCCAACTAATGAAGATCCCTCAGACCAGACCAGACTCAGCAGCGCTCTGCCCCTCATCCGCAGTGGGTCCTGGGGCCAGTCAAGGTTTTGGAACCAAACACATAGATGCTTGGCGGTTTCGCGAGGTTGCGGGCAAGACCCCATGAGGTGCCGAGTCCTGGGCCGCCCCTCCAGGGCTGGCCAGCAGGGGGCAGCGCGGGTCTGAGCGTGGAGGCCAGAACTGGTCCGCGCCGGCAGGGTCAGACTCACTCAGTGCCCAGTTGGGTTCCCGGGCCTCGAAGTTCTAGGCCGCACAGGACCCAGGAGCGTTCCCGGAGGAGGTGGGGATGGGGCGGTGAAAGCCGAGAGCGTTTTAACTCCTTCATCCCCTGCCGCTTTCTCAGCCAGCAGGGCCCGGCTTGAGGCTGGGATTTTTGGTCCCTGCAGCAGGGAAGCTTATAGTCCAGTTGTCATCCGCGGCCGCCGCGCTCCGGGAGCTGAAGCTGGAGAGGCCATCCTGCGCTTGGGAAAGGCCGCGGGCGCCACCGCCTGCGCAGTCCGGCGGTCAGGGCGCCGGAGCTGGGGGAGCTCCGCCTCGCCCCAAGGAGGAGAGCCCCGGAGGCCTGGCTTCTAATTGTGGGAAAATTAGACACCCCAGGGAAGGTTCAGCTTATGGAGGGCGGACTCGAATTTCTCCTCCTAAGCGTCCCGGGCCTCCCAGGGCACCCGCCCCCACCATTCCTGACAAGGCTTTAAAATTGTAGGGAATCTTCGCGGTTGTAGAGCCACGATCCTAGGAGAGGACAAGTCCCAAGCAGAGAATGGTGTCTGAGGGATCCTAAGGGAGGGAGTGATGTTGGTTTGGGGTTCCTGGGAGGCAGCGGTCATTGGTGTATTTGCCAGTGCTCGGGTGTATTTGCACCCGAGTGTTGAGACCCGGGGAACAGGAAACAGTACAGCTCTGAGGCTCTGTGAGGGCGGGTCTTTCCCACCCCAAAGCCAGAGGCCAGGAGGGAGGCCTTCGGTTAGGGTGGGGAACGACATTCTCTTCTCTTCTTGCACCCTAAGCGATCTCAGCACTCAGAGACGCTGTCTCAGCACCCAGAGAATCTGGGATTTCTCACGGGCGGTTTTCTGCCCTCAGGATTAGGTTCTTCGTAAACTCACAGCCCTTTAGAGGTGAGGAGTGGGAAGGCTGAGACCCTACCCCCGAGGCGGAGCAGAAAAGTAAGAAAATCAATACATGGTGGGGCAGAGGCAGACCTACCCGGGAGAGAGAACGTTTCTCCACCCATCTCAGCCCTGTCATCCTAATACGACGGCGTGGTAGGAGGGGGACACGCTGGCCTCCAGCAGAGAAACGTGGTCCTCTCAAAGAGAGGATCCACCCGGTTTCCTGCGTTTAGGAGGGAAATTACCTATCCTGCAATGCCTGTAAAATAACCGTTTATTTATTAGTTTAAAAAAAAAAACTCCAGTGATAAATGTCCGTTACCGATGGTCAGCATAAAGTGCCAATCGCAATATAACGCCCGGCTCCTGGCTGGCTGCTCCCTCGCAGTGTCGCGGCAGCGGAGGCCGGGCCCCCTGCAGACCCAGGCCTGAGGTCCCCGCCCTGCTGTCGGAGTCCCGGAGCCCACGGAAGCGGGCTGAGCCGCAAGAGCTGGGAGGGGGCGCTCCTGCCCCGCGGTCCCTGGGGCGGGAGGCTGAAGCAGATACAGGGATTACACTTTTGCAGGCTCCGGGGGAGGGGGCAGGGGCGGGAGGAGGAGGTGGGAGCTGCCAGTGCTAAGGACTTCCTTGCCTCTCCCCTCACCCCTCACTCTCTGCAGTCAGAGTTACAAGCTTATATGGTCAAAGACAAAAATAAAAAAGAAAACGTATAAAATAACAATAGAAAAAGTAATACTTCTGGGAGAGGCGCCGCTGCGGCTCCGCTGAGCTTTCGTTCTTTTCTTAATGCAGTTTCCCTTCCGCCACGTGAGTACCGCCTTTTGGCCAAGAGTTTAGCCGCGTCCTAGGGGAGCAGCCGGGACGGTCGGGGTCGCGGCCCCGGGCGGGGCTCTGAAGTGCCGCGTGCGCCAGCGACCCAGGGGACAATGTTGGAGAGGTGGAAGGTCCCAAGCGAGCGCCTCTCCCGCTGCCCGCCAGAGTCAGGCTTCTGGTCCCTCTGGAGGAGAGGGCCACTGGGCCCAGGGTCCTTGTGACCCAGAGGCTCTATTTAGCATTTGATCTTGGAGGTTTTGAGCTCCTTCACCTGTGAGTGTAGCGTCTTGTGGACAGCGAGAGTCCTGGACTGGCAGAATCCTTTCCCACACTCTTGACACTTGAAGGGCTTCTCTTTGGAGTGAATATATCTGAGGGCAGAAACAGAGAGTTCATACTTGCAAAATGATGCAATGTTATAAACAGTTGCCCAAGATCCCCTCCCACTGCTATGGGGCACTTGCCCTCAAAGGAAAAGTATATAGTCAGTACCAAGTGTGGATGGGACAAAATGTTGATTGGGGATGGAGTGGGGAGGTGAAGGAGATGCTTTAGCAAAATCTGATCCTTAAACAGGTTCAGCCACCTGTTTAAGGTGCCTTCCTGGTGGGCAGGAGGGGCAAACTTGGCCTCCTTATAAGGTCAACACTGACGATGAGTAAAGGGAGCTGGGGTCGGACAATTTGCTCGACCTGCACTGTCGAAGATGGTAGCCGCTAGCATGTGTGCTTATTAAAATTAATATTACTTAAAATTAAATAAAACTAAATTAGTTTCTCAGGTGCACTATTACATTTCAAATACTTAACTGTCACATGTGTCACATGTCACATTTCCTTCATGGCAGAAACTTCTATTGGACACCCCTGAAAATGGAGGAAGTGGGGCGGAGGAAGCTGTGTGCTTGTCTGGAGCTCACGGAGACCTCACTTAATCTTGGGTCCTGTTTATTCCTACATTTCCTGAACCCATGCTCCAAAACCTAACCCTGGGTCTCCTAGGCTTTCTTTCTTGATTTTAAAGAATTCTTTCTTGATTTTAAAGAATTCCCTGAAGCTCTAGTAGGGGGTCTCAAGAACCTCGTTAGGGAGGAAGATGGTGAGGCCAGAGGCAGAGAGCTCTCTCTTGGGCCACACGCAGTGCCGCACCTGTGGTCCCGTAGGTGGTCTTGCCTCCGGAAGGCTTTGTGGCAGATGTCACAGGTGTAGGGCCGCTCGTCGGTGTGTGTCCGCTCATGGATAAGTAGGTTGTAGGACTTGGTGAAGTGGCGGCCACAGAACTTGCAGACGAACTCCTTCTTGGTCTTGGAAGGCAGACGTCCCCTTGTAGGTTTCTTTTCTGGAGACAGCTTGGTCACATCTAGGAGGGCCCCCAGCCCACCCGCGGGGGAGCCTGGGCCGTCCGCGCGGCCAAGCTTGGCCGGATCTTCTTGCGTTGCGGCCAAGGCCAGGTTGGCGAAATCAAAGCGCGGCTTGGTCTTGAGCGCTGGAACGCTGCCTCCAGCGGTGATCTCGGGCTTGGGTTGAATGACATGAGGGAACCAGGGAAAGGCGGGCAGCTGGAAGCGCGCGTCCACCAAGCTGGACACGGTGCCCGGCACTTTGGAGAAAGAAGAGCGTGGCAAGTGCATGGCCGGGTAGCCCAGCGTCCACTGATGCAGGTGCACAGCGTGCAACGCGCTGAAACCATACAGGTTGGGCAGATGGTCCGAAGGCACTGTGGGCAGGCCGTTCACTGCCTGAAGGAAGGAGTAGTTGGTGAGCTGCAGGGAAGGGTGGATGGGCACCGGCGCCGGTAAGGTTTTGCTGCCCATTTCGGCAGTGGCAGTGGCTTCTCAAACCGGATCTGCAAAGAAAAGAAGGCAGGGGCGTGGAGAGGAATAAAGAAGTTCAGCGTGGGTCGCCTTACTCCTGAATTGCGGCCCAGCCACACCCTCTCCTCACACCCAGCGCAGGATCTAAGAGTCTAAGACCCCATTCCCAAAACCCACTGCCCTCACAAAGAAGGTGGAAATGTAAGTGCAGGGGAGCCCTCTTTTCAGAACCCTCTTTGGTCTGAGGGCTCCCTCCAAATGGCCTCTGGCAGAGTCACACAACTTGATAGAGGGAAGGGTCTACTGTATACAAGACACTGAGAAAAAAAACAAGCACAGGGAAACTGCCTGTCCTGTAGAAACTGACAGCCAGGTAAGCTTGGGTCAACACAGAATCACAATCTCCTGCAAAGATAACAGGAGCTGGGGAACACACTTACACATTCATTTGCAGATAAACACAGAAATGCACACGCAGATTCACACATTCTGAGGCAGAACTGACAAGGTGCAAAGACTGGGACAACCAGTGTTTTATAGCACAACACTGACTTTAAAAAAAAAATGCAGTAACTCCTGCATCTCACACACACACGATCACATAGCATCCATGAAGAGCCTCACAGACAACACACATACACAGACACACAAATGCATGCACCTCCTGGCTCCCGTTCGTTAAGGTCTTCTGGCTGACCTTCGATTTGGCTTCCAGAAGCCCTGTCATCTTTCTCCTCAAAACCCTCAACTTTGACCTTAAATCTGCTTCCCTGCCTTAATATAAGTGAAATCTGTTGGCTTCACTCTCTGAAGCTGCTTGTGGACTGATTCTCTGCCTTGCCTTAGCCCTTGGGGACCACTTTGCTTTCAAGGAGCGTGCTAATATCCACATTCATTTACTCTGTCAAACAATTGCAGTAACAAACAAGGGGGCATTAGTGCCCTCACTCCCCCAAAGAAAAAGGGAGTTGGGTCTTTGGGTTGTCAGCATGTTCTTGTGTGTGGTGAGCCCTGGGCAGGTGGGTATGCCTATAGGCAATAACACTGAGGCCAGGCCTCCATTCCTGTGGTCTATGTACCTCCAACTGCAAGGTCGGAGAGCTTGAGTAAGGCCAGAGGAAAGCCACACTGAAGTGACCAGGGGCTGGCATCTCCAGACCTTCTTGGCCATGGTCTCCAGCCTCCATGGAGACATCTGAGCTCCGCAAAAATGCTTTTCATCTCTACCTCCCAGACACTCCTAACTCAGATGTGTCCAGTGGAGGAAAGAACAGGGTGAGCAAAGTCTAAACTGTCAGGGAGCCTTGGGAAGCCCAAGCACTGAACTTCTGGCTCTTAGTATGGGGCTACTTAAGAAGTCATTGTCACGGCAGGGTCCTTGGGACTCCCTTCTCTCTTGCCCAGCCTCAATCCCCTGCTGTTGACTTCTTCCTTTACCCTTTATTACTCTCCTCTTCCTAGTTCATTTCCTCTAACATGGAGTAATTTCCCTTCCCTGGGATGCATTGGCCTCTGCTCTGCTCCCTAGTTTGGTGTGCCCCCTCCCCAGGTTGAGCTGACCCTCAGCCCAGGGCAAGGCCCAGGCATAGACTCCTCTACCTTTCGCTGCAGCGAGGCTTTCAAAGCCTGGCTCTGTCCAGGGATGTGCAGTGCCTTTTCCCAGGAGGTATGAGGACAATATTGACCCAGGAAAACCTTTTCTCCTGGAAGCTGGCAAGGGGGCCACTGGCTGTGTGGTGGGACCTAAGGAAAGAGGCCTTCCTGGGAAAGGGGCGTAAAAACACCATGAGCTGGCAGCGGTTTGCCTGCGCAGTTTAAATTAGCACTCGGATACAAACTGCTGCAATGAGTTTAGCCTCAGGGCGAGAGGAGGCACAGTATCTGCATGATCTGGCCTCTGAAGCAGAGCGCTGGTCCCGCCGGCAGCGCCGTGGCTTCAGCAACGGTCATCTCTACTGCGCCAAGCCAAGTTCGGGTCGTGCCCGGGACAAACTGAGACTATCCCAGAGCTCGGACACAAGGAGAAATAAAATTCAAATTGGGCCAGAGAGGAAGCTGGGACCCGTTTGGGTTGGGGAAGGGGAAGGGGAAGGAGGAGAAGCCTCGCTAACTTCAAAGGTCGGTCTGGACTTAGGGGAGATGAGGGCTCTTTGAATTGCTGTCACCTATTCTTCCCTTCCAGGCGCTGGAAATCAGATCCTCATCTCTGGGTCCCAGAGCCCAATGGGCGCCGCGAAGGCCTCCTCCTGCTCCTCTGGGTGCTTGGCTTATCCAAGGCCAAGCCAGCGGCCGTGGCTGTGGGACTCTGGGCTGCACACTAGTCCGAACCCGCTGCGTGCCTGGGTGGGAGAAACCACCAACCTCGCTAGGCCTTTCCTCGCCTTCTTCCTGGGAGCCAAGACCGGAGCCGTCTTGGGCTCCGTAGGGGGTGCCGGGAAGGGGGAATGCTTGCAGCTATAATGGTTCCTGGGAGCCAACCTTTCCGGGCTATCTGCCCGATCTTGTTTTCCCCAACGCTACATTTATTTTCTTCCGCGGCCCAGCCCGTTCCTTGTTTTCTGAATCATTCGGAAGCCAGGCTCCCCAGGCTCCCGCCAAGTACTTTCCCCTGGACGAAATTCGTTCGAAACGTGGCTCTTTACACTAGTATCAAGAATGGGCCGAAAGCACGATCCGGTTTCAGGAGGTCAGCTAACAGAAAAACAGTCTCACCCTAGCCCCTCCAGTCAGAAAGGATGAGCGAGCCCCCGACCCCTCGGGCTCCGGAACCCCGGGGCAAATACTTTCGATCTTTAAACACAGTATGGAAAACCCTTCCCCGGGCTAAGCATCCATTCCTCAAACAGCTTGGGCCTCGGGACCTGGGGGAAAGAATAAGGGGACCCGACCACGCACAGCAGAGGCAATTCGCGCACGGGATCCCGGGTCCCTGCGCAGTGCGGGCACTCGCGCTCCTCGCGCGGTGGAGCGCCAATCCCAGGTCTGCCGCCAGTCCTATGCCGGGCATTAATGAAGTGTGCAGAGTCTATTAAAGTGGTTTATTTGGGGCTAATTGAGCGTGAGCAAGTTAACTGCTTGCATTAATGAGGATGGGAGCGAACTCCACGAGCTTGCGCCTGGGGGAGCCCAGAAGAAACCCAAGAAAATCAGCCTTGACATCGAATCTCCAATGAGTGGTGACAGGCGTCCGGACCCCTGTGAAGAGGACTGACCGCACCGGATACTTCTGTAGCATTCTCCCAACAAACGAGATCTAACGAACCCATCGGTAAGGCGGCCATCCGGCTGCACTTAAATGTCCTCTGCGTCCTCGGCGATCCATTCCCCAATCTTAATAAAACAGCAGTTACCTCGAGGAGCCTGGGATGGAACATCTACCCGCCGCCGGTCGCTGCTAGTCCCCTCCAGCCCTTCTCTTCCCTAGGGGGCTGTGAAGCTGGGACACCTAGCCTTGCACGTGGTTTTGTTCCCCAGAGCCAATGCGCAGCTCTTAGCCTGGGTGAAATTTACCAAATTGTGGCAACAAAGAAACCCTCGCGGCTACTTTACACACTGAGAGCCCAACCCGCTACTGCCTGAGCTGCTGCAAAAGGACTAAACGTGGTTTTTCATTCTTATCCGAGACATTTCGGAGGAGAAATTAGTTCAGGAGGCAGGCCCTCACCCCTTTCCCGTTCTTTCTATCCTGACGGCTGGATTAGCTGACAGTCAGGGGAGTAACAACTTTTCCAGTTCCCAGCCCGGAGACACTGCGGCTCCACAGAGTTTCCACTAGTGCTGTGTTTGAGTCTCGAAGTGGAAAGCAGTCCTTGCGCCCCACAGCATTGCCTCCCTGCACCAGGACAATCAAGGGTTCCGCTCCAGGCCTTGACGACACAGAGCAATCATCCTATGGAGAATATCCCTAAGTCAGAGCGCAAGTGCCAGGCGGGGTTCAGACTCGCGGCCCTGCGCTCTCGGGTCTAGTCGGCCTCATACCAGAGCGCAACTCCTCAAAAGACAAACTTGAACGAAAGCGCTACCGGGCTGGGGCATGCACCTGTCCCTGGCGCGGTCGGCTGCGGCTGTGGCCATTCACTCCCTCTCCCTTCCTTCTTCGTCAGCCGAGGCGTCAGCCAGAGATAGGAGCGCGTCTCGGGAAAGTTTGTGCCCGCTGAAGTTGCTCTGGTTTCTTAAAGGGGGCCCGCATATTGACTTTCAAAGTCCGTGGGCACCTCGCCCGGGATTCCGCACAGCCGGGCGGGCTGGCGGCAGTAGCTGAGGCCCGCCCCCTCAATCCCCGGCGGTCAGAGACCGAGGACCCCGCGCGGGAAGTCCTGAGCCAGCACCCCCAACCACCCTGCTCTCACTTTCACAAAAGTCCTGCAGCATTCATCTGTCAAGAGCTTCCTTGGGGGCATTGAGAGAGAGGAGACACCCGCCGCGCAGTGACAAGGAACCTGGGAGTCCTGCCCGCATTCGCCTTGCTGAGCCCGGGCGCCCAGGACTGCAATTACCTTGTTCCGCAGAGGTCCCGGGGCTGAGCACGTCTCTGGGGCTTTAGCAGAAGGGAACTGGGGAAGCCGGAGGCGCTGGAGCCCACAGGCGCCCCTGGAGCTCTAGAGTCCCTACTCCTCTCCTGCCGCGGGGACTCTAAGCGTCGGACACGCGGGAGCGAGCGCTCAGCAGCCCCGGGTCCTGCCCGCCCGGGATGGTGAGCCTCGCTCGCAGCTCCCTCGCTGGGTCTGAACCAGGAGCAGCTGAGAACGTGCCGGGGAGAGGCCGAGCTCCGACTCACTCATCCCTTAGCACCGAGCCGCCTACTTATTTTAATCCACCACCCTCCCTCCTCCACCACCCTCACCCCCGCCCCTTGCCTCAGGATTCCTCTCCTCCCTCCCCTGCCCCCCAACCCTGCCATGCGCCTGCGCAATGAAAGACAAAGTTTTTGCTGACCCGGGCAGCAGACTTTGGCAGCTGCACTCGCTTGGACCCGGCCTCTCCCAACCTGCGTCCCCTCCTCTTCAGTCCCACGCGACCCCTTCTGCCTTTT